AATAGTAATGTGATTAAATATTTTCATACCTAGCACTATTGATAGTAATGTGATAAACTATTTCCATACCTAGTAGTATTGATAGTAATATGTTTAAATATCTCCATACCTTGTAGTATTGATAGTAATGTGATTAAATATTTTCATACCTAGTAGTATTGATAGTAATGTTATTAAATATTTTCATACTTAGTAGTATTGATAGAAAGGTGATTAAATATTTTCATACCTAGTGGTATTGATAGTAATGTGATTAAATATTTTCATACCTAGTAGTATTTATAGTAATGGGGTGAAGTATTCACATATCTAGTAGTATTTATAGTAATGAAATTAAATATTTCCATACCTAGTAGTATTGATAGTAATGTGATTAAATATTCCCATACCTAGTAGTATTGATAGTAATGTGATTAAATATTTCCATACCTAGTAGTATTGATAGTAATGTTATTAAATATTTTCATACCTGGTAGTATTGATAGTAATGCGATGTTTTCATACCTAGTAGTATTGATAGTAATCTGATGAAATATTTCCATACCTAGTATTATTCATAGTAATGCGATTAAATATTTTCATACCTAGTAGTATGGACAGTAATGTGATTAAATATTTTCATACCTATCAGTATTGTTAGTAATGTGATTGAATATTTCCATACCTAGTATTATTTATAGTAATGCGATTAAATATTTTCATACCTAGTAGTATGGACAGTAATGTGATTAAGTATTTTCATACCTAGTAGTATGGACAGTAATGTGATTAAATATTTTCATACCTAGTGGTATTGATAGTAATGTGATTAAATATTTCAATACCTAGTAGTATTGATAGTAATGTGATTAAATATTTTCATACCTAGTAGTATTGATACTAATGTGATTAAATATTTTCATACCTGGCAGTATTGATACTAATGTGATTAAATATTTTGATACCTAGTAGTATTGATAGTAATGTGATTAAATATTACCATACCTAGTAGTATTGATAGTAATATTTTTAAATATTTTCATACCCAGTAGTATTGATAGTATTGTGATTAACTATTTCCATATCTAGTAGTATTGATAGTAATATGTTTAAATATTTCCATCACTAGTAGTATTGATAGTAAAGTGATTAAATATTTTCATACCTTGCAGTATTGATAGTAATGTGATGAAATATTCACATACCTAGCAGTATTGATAGTAATGCGATTAATGTGATAAAATATTCACATATCTAGTAGTATTGATAGTAATCTGATTAAATATTCCCATTTAATCACATTACTATCCATACTACTAGGTATGGAAATATTTAATCACATTACTATCAATACTACTAGGTATGGAAATAGTTAACTGCATTACTATCAATACTGCTAGGTATGAAAATATTTAAGCACATTACTATCAATACTGCTAGGTATGGGAATATTTAATTACATTACTATCAATACTACTAGGTATATTTTCATACCTAGTAGTTTTGATAGTAATGTGATGATATATTTTCATACCTAGAAGTATTGATAGTAATGTGATTAAATATTTTCATACCTAGTACTATTGATAGTAATGTGATTAACTATTTCCATACCTAGTAGTATTGATAGTAATATGTTTAAATATCTCCATACCTAGTAGTATTGATAGAAAAGTGATTAAATATTTTCATACCTAGCAGTTTTGATAGTAATGCGATTAATGTGATTAATTATTCACATATCTAGTAGTATTGATAGTAATGTGACTAAATATATCCATACCTAGTAGTATTGATAGTAATGTTATTAAATATTTTGATACCTAGTAGTATTAATAGTAACATGATTAAATATTTTCATACCTAGTAGTATTTATAGTAATGGGATGAAGTATTCACATATCTAGTAGTATTTATAGTAATGCGATTAAATATTTCCATAGCTAGTAGTTTTGATAGTAATGGGATGAAATATTCACATATCTAGTAGTATTTATAGTAATGCGATTAAATATTTTCATACCTAGTAGTTTTGATAGTAATATGATGAAATATTTTCATACCTAGTAGTATTGATAGTAATGTGATTAAATATTTTCATACCTAGTAGTATTGATAGTAATGTCATTAAATGTTCCCATGCCTAGTAGTATGGATAGTAATGTTATTAAATATTTTCATACCTAGTAGTATTGATAGTAATGTGATTAAATATTCCCATACCTAGCAGTATTGATAGTAATGTGATTAAATATTCCCATACCTAGTAGTATGGATAGTAATGTGATTAATTATTTTCATACCTAGTAGTATTGATAGTATTGTGATTAAATATTCCCATACCTAGCAGTATTGATAGTAATGTGATTAAATATTTCTATACCTAGCAGTATTGATAGTAATGTGATTAAATATTTTCATACCATGTAGTATTGATAGTAATGTGATTA